TAAGAAGGGTTTGAATCTAATGATAGGCGACGCACAGGACGAGGGAACTATCCTATTGTCGATGTTAGTCGATCCGATCACTTATAACATAACTAATCCCAAAAACTTTACATATAATGAAGCATTTAATGCATTGAAGACATTATCTTCCGGACTAAAAGTTAGTAAACCGCTTAACGGCGAAGACGTCTCCCGAATGTATTTCACGGGTCTCTCTACTCATACCGACAAAAACCTATTGATTCAAGAAATTGGTATCGCTTTCGGAGATTATGCCATCACTTGTCCGACCATTCAGTTCGCGAAGAATGCCTTTTCAAGTGACAAAACCGGAACTAAAGTCTTTCAATACTATTTTAATACTAAATTAGGAAAACCTAAGATATATTGTGTGGGAAAATGGATGGGTGTCTGTCATGGAAGTGATATTATCACTGCCTTCGGTCTACCATTTCTTGCGCCAAAAGACTATTTAGATCGCGAACGAGAGATATCCTCACAAATGATGAATTCCTTTCATAATTTAGTTAAAAATGGGTCCGTTTTATAAAATACAGTAATTGTTATAAATCAATATTTTTAATAATTTGTTGTATATGACAGTAACCCTGGTACAATAGACGGCGCCCAATGGCCGCAATACTATTCAATGGGAGCCAATATAATAGCGCCGTATTATGAGTACACAAATGAACCGAAATCTGTCACTAATTTCAACATTGGATTAAAGATCGATGAATGCGATTATCTGTGGAATCAATACAACCATTGATTTTATTATATTGTATTAACAAACACTAAAAATTTGTATTATATTATTTACTGTTGGCAACATGAACTAACTTTTAACTCATAAAATGTATTAGTTTAATTATAAAGTTTAAATTAAATGCTTGCTATGACAAAGAGTATACATAAATACTTTAAAAGAATTTACTGATAAAATTATTTTAATTATTTTTAACTTTTCAAAATTTTAATAATTTCATAATTACATACAAATACACGAAATGTAGAAATACACGAATTATAAACTATTGTACAGTATTATAATTTATCAATTCACAATTGGTAGTATAGTAAATTTTATAGTAATAGTTTAATTTTAATCATAATAAAACGTGTGAAATATTTATATAATAATTTAAACATGAAATTAATGTTTGTTAAAATTTGTAATACGTTCGTCGATTCACTTTATTAGTTAACAATTGTTTCAATCATTTCGGCCGCTCTTTCAATGCTATCAGAGCTTAACATACGTTTTGAAGCGACGGATAATCTCTGTTTCATTTCCGAGTCATTCAATAGTTTTTCAATTGAATCCAATAATTCTTCTTCAGAACAGTTGTACGGATCAAGTCTTAAACCGAAACCCTTTTCCATAACTCTTTGTGCGCTA